CGAGCGCTGCGGCGGCCGAAAACCCGGGGGCGGCGCTTCGGGATACAAGCTCAGCAGCAGAAATAAAAAATAACGCGCCGAACGTCCCAGACACGGGTCCGTCTCGTCCGGGGGCGAGGAGGAGGAGGAACCTGGCGGAGCCCGCGGAGAGCAGAAAGAAAAGCCCGCGGCCGAGTAGGAGCGGCAGAGACACTCCCGGCCCTTTAACACAACCACGAAAGCCATACGCCGCGGTCAGGACAGCAGGCTTTACCGCGGGACTCAACCGACTCGTTACCTGATCAAACAGCAAAGTTGAGGCAACCGGCTCCGGCGCGTGAGGATGCCCACGGGGAGAGACGCCGATCGCTACCGGGCGTGTCGCCTCGGTGGCAGCCGCGTAGCTGCATCCCGTGCTTGAAAAGCGAAGCCAGAAGAATTCAGACCCGATGTCAGCGTTGCTTCGCCTGCTCCAGCCTCACACGCAGACACGACGGCTCCAAGCAGCAGGATCCGATTGCACGGCCCTTGTGGGCGGCGAGCGGCCTCTTGCCAAACGAAGAGCGGCACGCCACGCGCACCCGAGCCCCCCGGCCACGGTGGCTACGGCCTCTAGAAGACTGGGTAGGAGCGCCCGCCTGCCCGGGAGTCAGGCTCTGCGCAATCACGTTCGACTCAACTTAGAATTGGTGAAGGAGACAAACCGCGATCGTTCACTTCTGTCAGGCAGCTGGCTCATCTAGGTGAGCATCTCTGGACAGCGGCCAACACGGGATGTTTCAGGGGTGCAGGACACCCTAGACTGGATTATGGTTTGATCTGCCACAGGTCAAAGGGCCTCTCTCACTTCCCATAGCGGTTGATTTATGCTCCGAATCCCAAAAACTTGCTGATCATATAAAAGACTAAAATAACCATGTGTTCTCTTAGCCACCTAAGAACCTCACCCCTTCCTGAATTCTTCTAGGGGTGTAGGCTGTAGCCGTGTTGGTCTAAGGACACAGGCAGACACGGTTCCTTGGGTGAATTTGATCTTTGGTTGGTTTAATAAAAGATATCAAATTCACCCAAGGAACCTTGACTGCCTGAATTCTTCTGCGCTCATTTCAACGGTATGTTAGGGCCGTGAGCTCTACGGACAGGTTTTGCCTTGTAGAAGCAAGCGTTTACTTCCAGCAGGTCTTCCTGTGTTACAAGAAAGGGTGAACGCGACCCACTTTCTGTGGTCCGTGTTCAACCGCTCTCCACAGTTAACAGGTTCTGTCCCCCAGAGCAACATCTTCCAAGTCCCTCCTCCGAATCACTAATTACAAGTCTAGTACTGACACCAGACCACACCTGACTTTCCCACAGCAAAGCCCATGACCAGGCCACTCTCATAACATAAAGTGGCTAAAGTAGGACACGGCGTCATTTGGAAGCTTTTCTTCTGAAGCTTGGTTTTTCGAAGGGGATGGATACAACCACGGATTGTTGTTGTTTCTCCCACCTCCCACAGCATGCACTACGTGGGGCCACCCCTACCACCAAACCGCAGCCATATTTGTTCCAGAACTTTATTAAAATATATCCAAGAAATAGCCAAACAGGTTTTCTAACAAGAGCCAGGAAAGAACTGAAGTGAGAAGGACTTCTGCACAGGGAACATTGCTGTAAAATTTTGTTTACATGCTTTATTTTTAAATGCTTCACAGTTTAATTGTTGTCTACAAAAATATATTTCTGAAACTCTGAGTCCTCTATAAAAAAGCTGGTCAGCAACAGTGACCCTAACAAAACAGGATGTACCTTCGGACAGAGCGTGCATCTCCTGTGAGCAGTTCAGCGTGGCCAGGGCACGTCTGCCTCACCCTGGGATAGGAGGTTTCTGTTCTTTGGGATTAAGCTCCACACTGGTTTTGAAGGAAGTGATTTAAGACAAGAAAAACAATATTCTTTCTGTCTCTCCATGCTGCATTAAACCCAGAACATGGAGTGGCAAATGAGTACACTGCGCAGAAGAGAGTGCTGTTAAAGGAGAACTTGGCATCAGGGAAAAGGGGAAGACTTTGTGCTTCAGTACTGGTACATGTCACTTCCTCGAGCTGTCTGCCCTTCTCTTGATAACGGCCAGGCCCAGCCCAAAGCATACCAAGCAGAGGTGCCACAGGAATAGTTTTACCAGCACCTGAGAGCTGTTCATTGGGGTAGAGGGAAGCATTCAACTTGATTTTAGTCTTGCACCTGCCCAGATCTGCATCTTCTTTACTGCAACTCCAACCAAATTTCAAGTCATTTAGTTCCAAAAGCAGGTCTACATGGCACTGGCTGTAACAGAATCTGTTTTCTTAGGACTAAGGCTTAGGTCAAGTTCATCAGCAGACATAGATGGAGTTAGCAATCCTCACAGCTCTAGGCATGTATTCCTAGTATGCCAGTCACCATGGTATCTAGGCACCAACTAAAAAATTAAGAGTTTCAACATCATCCAGGTGAGATCTTCTTTTCCACTCCTTCTTTGAAGAAGTTTTTCTTGATAGTTCTTAATTTACCCATAGTTTAAAAAAAAAAAAAGATAAAAGGCTGGCCCTTGCACATTTTGCACTGTACTCTAAGAAAGGAGATAAATGGACCCTGATCTCCTGTGCTTGAAAACCCCACAACTGGGAACTCCCTACCCCAAAATTATCTGCTTCCTGTATCTTTGCAGGACAAGCAGCCGTTTTCAGCAGCAAGTCAAAAATAAAAAGGTGCTGACAGACTATCTCCCTAAAACAGTAACAGGCCAAAGTCAGCCCTTTGAATCGCTAGGGAAACCTTTCCTCCCACCAGGCCAGCCTGCCTACTGTGGGAGCAGCTTTCTGAGCTAGGAAACTGTTGGAAGAATATTCAGATATTGGTGTCTTCCATTCCAATCAGTGATCTCCAAACTTTCCTCAGAAATGCTTCTCCTCCCTATAATGTGTCTACCACCAGCCCCAGCTGCTGTCACTCTAGTTTGACTAGCTAGTTCCTGAGCCGCAAAGGAGGTAAATGAATATTAAAACTGAATAAGTATTACCCAGGAGAACAGAGAGCTGAAGTGCCTACAGCTACCTGAACACCTTAATAAACACACCCAGCTCACAGCACTGAGAAACTGCACCATGTCCCATCATGGTAAATCTCCACTCGGCTAAGGTGACAGTCCAAAGGAAATAGGGCCAGCTAAAGACTTCCACTCACCATACATTCTCCTCCCCTATGGCACCTCTTCCCACAGGAAAATAAATCATTTCACAAGGTCAGCACTAGACTAGGTCATAAGCCAGTATGTGAAGGAAAAAAAATGGAAAACAATTTACAAGTTAGAAGAGAACTTGAGAACCAACTTGAGCTTCGCCACTTCATTCCATTACCCAAACTAAAGAGTAACCTACTTGGATCATGTCCTCTGTGCCCTCTGCAAGTTCTAGGCTCCTTTCACTGGGAAACAAGGAACAGCCTTCTCCTCAAACTGAAGAACAAAGATCTGTGCCCCCCACTGCCATCCCCCACAGCAAGTTGCATTCCAACATATGCAAGCAACAGGAATGCATACTGTTGCAGCCCAAGAGATGTCAAGTT